GTGTGTGTGTGTGTGTGTGTGTGTGAGTGTGTGTGCGTGTGTGTTGGGTGGGGGTGGTTGTGTATGCGTATTTAAATGATTGACTTGAAAAGGCACACACAACGAAACCAAAACGAAACGTGGAAAGAGAAAAGGCAAACGTTGTGGCAACGAGTCAGTCCACAAAAACAACAACAACAACAACAACAACAACACCGATGACGACAACGACGACAACACTGACAACAACAACAACCTCCACCCTACTACCTTCAGTACTATCATCACAACCAGCACCACCATTGACAAAAACAACAATAACGACAACCCCTAAACATGTCGGTGGTGACTTGATCCCCCCAAAAAAAGAAAAATCAAAAGAGAAAAATCATACCCACCATCACCATAGCTACCACATTCCCTTCCATCAATAAAACCACCACCATCACTACCAACGCCATCACCAACACCATCACCACTACCACCACCACCACCACCACCAACAACAACAACAACAACAGCAAAAACAACAACAACAAAAACAACAACAACATCCCTCGGTGGCATCTCTTTATGGAGGATTCAGGGAGGCTGGACTGCCTCACCATCTAACCCACGAGAAGCGGTGACCCTGGCAAAGAGCACGCTTTTCTCAATTCGAAAGGATAGGCTCCCCCCCCCCCAGACACACACAACAGCAGCAGCAGCAGCAGCAACAACAACAACCACAACAACATCTCCAGCATCAATAGCATCAACAGGAACCACAAACAACAAAACCAACCTATACACGTTGGCGGTGGGAGATTCCAGTTGGTTCCATCACAGTAGATTTCTTCTGCTCCTACCAGCCTGAGTCCAGACCCACAGAAGAACTTGACCAGGCCACCCCGTAACTTCTTGACCATCGTCAGCTGGGGCACAAACGGGAGTGCTGGACAGCCTCTGCCTGCCGGACACACACACACGTAGCAACGGTTAGGGAATAGCATGGACAAAAAACAAGTGTTTGTAACGATTATTAATTATTATCAAGTGCAGTTTTTTTGCGGCCACATGGACACAATTCAGATCATTTAGAAAGGGAGCTTACGACCCTGCCAGTCAAAGCCATCCTGGGCTGAAAAGGATACAACATCCATGCAGAAAAACAGAGATACTCTTTCAAATTTTCCCCACTCGAGAATTGAACTTTGGTCTCCTGCATGCACCAGCAAAGCGCATAGCCACTACACCACAGGCGCAGGTTAGCAAGGGCAAGGGGTGGCATGAATAAACAATTAATGTAAAATCAGTCAGACAAACAAATTTAACAACAATAAGGTACATAAATGAAGCAACGGTTATTGAGTAGCAAGGAAAATGAATTGTGGCAACAGTTCAGGGTAGCATGAATAAACAATTAATGTAACAATAGATTTTTAAAAAGCAAGGACCTACACGACATGTAACAACAGCCAGGGAGTAGTGAGAAAAATGAAGAAAAAAACAAACCCAACTATGTGGTAACAGTCAGAAAACAGAAAGGACAAACAAATACAGCTAAATCGAAAATAAACAGGTGCACCAACGGTCACACACAAAAATATACCAATAGTTAGACAAACAAATGTCAACAAGCATACTGAATACACAACTTCCAACTGCCCCCCCC